TATATACATATACAATTGTCACATCTAAGTCGCTTGTTTGCGCATTTTTGCTGTCAACCAAATCGAACAGGTGCAATATTATCTGGCCTATAGATTGACCGGCGGAGTGATGGGCTATTGCCAATTAGTTGCTGCCCATAAGATAGGTTAGTGTGGGCATGACCAGTCTTAGATCAATGTTTTTGTAGTTTGTGGGGTTTAGGGGTATAAACCCTAAAACATAAACCCTATAAATCAAGGTGTTTGTTCCAACCCAACTGAGCTGAAGTGTTTTCGAGTGCATTTTTGCTGAGTCCGCCTATGATTTAAACGCACGCACGTTTGTAATTGTGCACAGAACGATTTTCCTCAACAGCGAGTCCTAATATAATACCTACATTTATATAACACATCAATCAACTCTATCGGTCGACGTCCGACTCAGATCACTTCTCGAGCTCATTCTCGCACTTAAAGGTAACAAGTCCGATGGAGCCTCGGAGTCTGGTTTGCTGTACATCCCCACGGCGGCAATGACCAGAGTCGCCCCTATCTTAAAGTTCCTCGAAGGCTCGAAATCAAACAGAAACACAGAGATGATGGCCGATAAGATAATCGCAGCGGCCGTGGCAAAGCCCTTGAGAATGTTGTCGGCGTATTTTACCACCACGGCAATGATCAGACCGCCAGCGGCGTGCAGGAGAATCACCATCCACACCAGGTAGTTGTACTGTGTACATGGGAAGGGCATTGTGGACTTGAGATAGGAAGGTTGCATAGTATACACGTACTACTGATCATGGTCAAAGGACATTGGTAGAAAGGTTATCTGCAGGAGTGTAGGGATGTGACCATCCACACCAGGTAGTTGTACTGTGCACATGGGTAGGATATTGTGGACTTGAGATAGGATGGGTGTGTCACGCCTAGTTTACACGTACTACTGCGCATTGCTCTGTGTGAGAAAGTGTTGAGCTGGGTCAAATTGTGAGGCAACACATCTGGAAGATATCTCTGTTCCATATTACGCGCTAAATATACACCGATTGAAAAAGCTTATAGGAGAATCACCATCCATACCTATAAATACATGCACGCACACGCACACGCACGCGCACACATACACACACACACATATGTATGCATAAACATTATCATTACCTGAGCAAAGAAGCCGTCTGCGTAGACCGCTTTGCTGTCGTTCATATACACAATAAAGAGACCAATCACCAGGCCAAACCCGCCCAGCTGGATGTTCCTGACCCAGATACTGGCACTGGTTCCCTTGAGAATCTTCTCAAAGTACACACCCGCAAATCCGCTGAAGGTGCACGCGGTTACAACAGCAGTCAACCCCACAGCGACATTGATCCCTTCTTCCGCCTCGGCCACCTGGATAAGAGAGGGATATACGCACGTGTATTGTTATATATATATATATATATATATATATATATATAGTGGAGAGAGAGAGGAGGGTAGGTAGGTGGTGGTTAGGTTGTAGTAGTATACTACAACGAGTACGACGACACGTAGTAACGTACCGTACGGTAGGACGGACGACGTACGTTCCGTTACCGTT